GCAAACACAACAAGGGGATTGGACTATGAGCACATGATAAAGCGAGAGCACACAAGGGAGGGGTGAGGATAGGTAAGACACCTAAAAAATTAGCTAGCATTTGTTGCCCTTAATGCAGAGAAACTAAAGCAGATACCTTAAAAGCAACTGAGGCCAATAGGAAAAGGGGACCAGGAACTAGAGAAAAGGTTAGATCAAAAAGAATTAACCTAGAAGGTAACACCACGCACAGGAAATCAATGTGAGTCAATGCCCTGTATAGCTATCCTTATCTCAACCAGCAAAAACCCTTGTTCCTTCCTATTATTGCTTATACTCTCTCTACAACAAATTAGAAATAAGGGCAAAATAGTTTCTGCTGGGTATTGAGGGGGGGGGGGAGAGAGGGGGCGAGTGGGTGGTAAGGGAGGGGGTGGGGGCAGGGGGGAGAAATGAACCAAGCCTTGTATGCACATATGAATAATAAAAGAAAAAAAAAAGAAAGTCAAAATAACCCCCTGCATCATATCAGATCACAAGTGAATTAAAACTAGACCTCAACAAAAAAAGAATTCCCAGAAAATCACTCAAACCACAAGGAAACCTGAAACAACACACTGTAAAATACCAATGGGTGACCAAAGCCATAAGGGAAAGAATTTTTTAAAGTTCCTAGACTGCGATGAAGATGAAATATAAAACAACCAGAATCTATGGACACAGTAAAGACTGTGCTAAGGGGAAAGTTTATAGCTATAAGTGCCTACATTTAAAAAAAAATAGAGGCCTCCCAAATAAACAATCTAATGATATACCTGAAGCTCCTGGAATAACAAGAACAAACCAGCAGAAGAAAAGAAATAACAAAGTTCAGGACCAAGATTAATGACATCAAATACCAACAATTAATACAAAGAATCTTTTCTTTGAAAAGATTAACAAGATCAGCAAACCCTTAGCCAACATGACAAAATGGAAGAGGGAGAAGACCCAAATTAATAAAATCAGAGATGAAAAAGGGAACATAACCAAAAATAACAGCGAAATCCAGAAAAACATTAGAGAGTGCTTTGAAAACTTAACATTCAAGTAAACTGGAAAATCTAGAGAACATGGATAAATTCCTAGATGCATGCAATCAATCAAAATTAAACTAAGAAAATATTAACCACATAAATAGTCCTATTATATGCAATGAAATAGAAATAGTAATAGCCTCCCTATAATGAAGAGCCCAGGACCTGATGGATTAACTGCCAAATTTTACCAAACTTTTAAAGAAGAACACCAATACTCCTCAAACTTTTCCAGGAAGTAGAAAAGGAAGGAACACTACCAAACTCATTCTATGAAGCCAGCATTATACTCATTCTGAAACCCAATAAAGACATAATCAGAAAAGAGAATTATAGACCAATATCTTTAATGAATATAGATTCAAAGATTCTCAACAAAATATTGGCAAACAGAATTCAACAATACATCAAAAAGATCATACACCATTGACCAAGTCAGTTTCATTCCAGGGATGTAAAGGTGGTTCAACATACATAAATCCATAAATGTAATACATAAACAGATGCAAGAACAAAAACCACATGATCTCCTCAACAGATAAAGAAAAAGCCTTTGACAAAATCCAACACCCTTTCATGATGAAAAGCTCTGAAGAAACTAGGAATAGAAGGAATGTTCCTCAACATAATAACGGGTATCTATGACAAAACTAGAGCCAACATCATACTAAATGGAAAACAACTGAAATTTTTCCCCTTAAAGACAGGAACGAGACCAAGCTGTCTGCTTTCTCCACTCCTGATGAATATGGTTTTGGAATTCCTAGCCAGAGCAGTAAGACAAGAGCAAGAAATAAAGGTATTCAAATAGGGAAGAAAAAAGTAAACTATCACTATTTGCAGATGACATGATCCTTTACCTAAGAGACCCCAAAAGCTGTACCTAAAAAATGTTAGAAATCATAAACTCTTTCAACAAATTAGCAGAATACAAAATTAACATACAGAAATCAGTAACTTTTCTATATACCATCAACACACAGACTGAGAAAGAAATCAGGGAAACAATCCCATTTATGATAGCCTCAAAAACAATAAACTACCTCAGAATAAATTTAACAAAAGAAACCAAAGACCTTTTTAATGAAAACTATAAACCACTGAATAGAGAAATTGAAGAAGACTTCTGAAGATGAAAAGAACTTCCATGCTCATGGATTTGTAGAATCAATATTGTGAAAATGGCCATGCTACCAAAAGCAATCTACATGTTCAAGGCAACTCCTATGAGAGTTCCAATGACATTCTGCACAGATTAGAAAAAGAAATCGTAAGTACATCTGGAACAAAAGACCTCAAACAGCCAAAGCATTTCTGAGCAAAAAGTCCAATACTGGAGGCATCACAATACTCGACCTCAAACTATACTACAGAGCCATAACAACAAAAACAGTCAGGAAACCAGTGGATCAGAATAGAAGCCCACACATCTATAGCCAGCTTATCTTTGACAAGGGAGCCCAAAACACATGATGGAAAAAAAGACTCAACATATGCTGCTGGGAAAACTGGATACCCACATGCAGAAGACTGAAACTAGATCCCTGTCTTTCACCCTGTACCAAAATCAATTCAAAGATCAAAGACCGTAATATAAAGCCTGAAACTTTGAAACAAATCCAAGAAGTAGTAGGAAATACACTAGAACAGATAGGTATAGGGAATGACTTCCTAAACAAAACTCCAAAGGCTCAGCATCTAAGAGAAACAATCAACAAATGGCACAACAAAAAGAAGCAAACACCAGACTCAAGAGATAGCCCACAGTATGGGAGAAAATCTTTGCCATCTACTCATCCAACAAGGGTCTAATATCCAGAATCTACAGGGAACTCAAAAAACTCAGCCCCCAAAGAATCAACACCCCTATGAAGAAATGGGTTACATGAATTAAACGGAATTTTTAATGGGTTGTTGACTTATCAACTTTTAAAGTGCCATCCTATTAGAATTGGTTTCTAGAAAAGGTTAGTAGCCTGGCCTGAGTCTGCCATATCTTCTTCCCTACTCTCTATAAAGGTAAACATCAGCATTTATAGGGTAGCTGGCTAAATTTGGAGATTTTTCAATGCTATGGATTTGTATTTCTCCAAAAATCCATCTCACCTCCATGAAAATTGACCCGATAAATGTGGATTCTTGATTAGCCACTGTACGCCCACCAGCTAAGGTAACTTGTCCCAGAAAACCAACATTGTATTGTATTTCCTGTAGGATGATCTAAGTATTTGAACCTAATGTTTAAACCTGATATAGTATCTTGACTAAAGCATTTCTTAAAGCATGTTTCTTTTTTCCAATCACTATTCAGAATTATGTTTTCATTTTTTCTTCCAGAATTGAATAGTCCACATCTGTATACCTGAGATCATTTTTAGATTTAATTTAATTGGCTTTGTAAGCCTAACATAAGTACAATCAGCGCATTGAACATACTTCTGGAGAATCCCCCAATACACTAAATAAGAAAATGTTATAGTTTTCTAAGTCTTCTGAAAACCTTGATGCTGGTGAAGACATACTATATGTGTTTTATGAGACCTACTAATCAAATCCAGGCCTTGGCTTAAAGAGCATGAGATGAATATTGGCCTGGTCTGTAACTGAATGCTCATGACCATCTGGCAGCTTCTGTGACTTATTAGTGGTGTTGGCCCAGTTTCTTATTGGCATGTACGAACATCAAATTGACATGTACCTACTTCAAGACAGCTTAACTTTCTAAATAAGCAAGGCCAAGACATCTTTTCTTTAGCTATGATGCAATTTGCTTTTTACAGTTTTTTAGTTTAAATTGAGAAGAAGCTAAAATTTATAGAGATTTCTATGTTATTTTAATCCTAACCCTTTTGAATCTATGTCTGTACTGACTGAAATAATGTCTACAAACTGCTGGACCTTGGCCATGTGCCTTGAAGAAAATATGTATACATTATATCTCTCTCTGACTCGAGGTCATAGGCATTCCTAATCTTCAGGCTGTCTTCAAGTTTTCATACAAAGAGTCAACTGTGATCATTTTAAACAGCCAGTGGAGGCAAGATTACTTTAGTAGCTTACCATCTTAAACAGAGTACTCTCTAGTTGGGAGTAAGGGAAAACTCAGAATAAGTTTTTACTTAAATTTTATGTCTTACTTGGCAACCTGTTTGAAAATGTTGCATAAATGGTCTAACACAGGAAACATTTTACATTCCGGCTTATGATTAATAAATATGGAATCTGAGGCATTCTATTTTATAAATCAAGATTGTAATCCAATTTCCTGTTTTTCCACCTTTAAAAACAAAACTCAGGATAAAAATGGCACTAAACTGTGTAGGGTACTCCAGGGCCAAGGCAACAGGCAAAATGAATTGCTCTCAATGCTACCGTGCTGAGACTGTTTCAGACTACTAACAGACATTCATTTTGTAGTCATCATTGAAAAAAGGTATTTAGTGCACCTGGTTTTATAAAAAGCATAAGCAAATAGATCCTATTTTGGACTTTTGTGTTTATTGAAAAGAAAATGGAATGGATAATACAAAATAATAAACAGTGATTTGGAAATACAAGTTCATACACAGACTGGGAAGACCCAGTCACTCAGACTGTCTTACCATATCATAATTTTAATCACATCTGTTTCTGCCTGTATTTTACAAACTGGCCATTGATGTCCATCTTTAATACTCTGCACACTTCAAGCACACATATACACCCACTAACATGTTTTGATCTTTGTTCAAAGATACACCAGTCTTAATTCATCTATACTTTCTGACTTCTCTCAGATCAGCTGCTACATAATAGCTCCATTGGGTCTTCCAGACTCTGTCTGAAGAATAATACCATGGTACTCTAAGGAATATGTTCGTGGCAGAAAGTTCTTTGGGATTCATACCATTCATTGACACTTCATCATACAAAGATGAAAGTTTTCTCATTTGTGTTTCATTACAGCCAAAAGAATGTTTCTTAATACAACCAAAAGAAAAAAAAGAAGATGCCACCAAGAGCAGGAAGAGAAAAAAGGTAATGTTTACAATTAGTTACAGTGCTATGGCCCCATGTAGCTTACATCATTTTTATATATTATACTTTGGGGTAACAACTATTGTAATCCCCACTCCAGAGAAACAGAAGCTGTAAGATTCAGTTAGGTTTGATGACTGTCTTAAAGACACTATTAATAAGTTTCCCTATTGGGGATAAACATAAATTCTTTTGACTCCTATTTCAGTCTTGTGAAACACAAACATCCTTGTTACCCAACCTCTGTTTTCATTATGGCTCATTGTCATAGCTGGATTTCTAATTCTAGAAGGAGCCTGGAGCTGCTGTTCCCACTGATTCCTCCTTTTGAGTAAAATGAAGTAAAGAAATATACCACCTTCTTTTTCCTCCTCATACCATTTTTTAAGACCTTACACTGTAGAGCATTAATAAAGAAGAAAATAATAAGCAGATGAAGCATGTGGCATTTGTGGCTCTAATTCGGAACCATAATTAAGGCCAAAGCTCACCTTCCATTTTAATATATACTTCACATAAAGAAGACTGCTGCTCCTATATAAACTTTTTTATGGCTCAACCTTACAGAAAGTATGATTCGCCTTCACCTTCTACCACAGTTGTGAGAACAGCAGTGCAATTCTCTCCCTGCCAAGAAGGGTCTACTTCTGAGGGAGTTATGATTGGAATTAGAGGAAAGAAGATGGGGACCCAATCCAGTTACTTACTAGCAAGCTTTTAGAAAACTCCGTGTGTGTGTGTGTGTGTGTGTGTGTGTGTGTGTGTGTGTGTTTTCTTTCTTTTCTCACAAATGGCCAAATAGGAAGACAGAAGATGCCAAATGAGCTGAGGTTTGGCAAGTCCTTAAAGAAGTGACTTTAACTTCTCTTTGATAATTCAAACACTAATGGCCTTCAGAAGTGTTATGTTCTGGTTGCTCAAGGTCAAACTCTAGCTGGATAGTTTAGCCTTGACTGAGGCCATGCTAAAATATGCCTACTTGTAACATATTTTTAAAAGAACCTTGACCATTCTTGGCAGTATGTGGAAATAAGGATGTCGTGGAAGAGGGAAAGGGCTGGGCTGGGGTGGCAGGTAAAGGCTCCTTCTGGATCTTTAGTGAAACATTGGAAGGAAGTGAGAAGGGAAGTTTATGATGAAAATGAAATGAAATGTGTATTCCCAGCACATTACAGACATTCAATAAAAGTGCTACACAAATGAGTCTAAATCAAAATGGATGTTGGGAAGTATTTTCTATAATATCTGTTCTACTTTCTACAAGGCCACTTTAAGATTGTGAGTCTTGGGCTGGGCGCCAGTGACTCACACCTGTAACACTAGCTACTCAGGAGGCAGAGATCAGGAGGATCTCAGTTCAAAGCCAACCCAGGCAAATAGTTCCACAAGACTCTATCTCGAAAAAACCCTTCACCAAAAAAAAGGGGCTGTGGAGTGGCTCAAGGTGTAGGCCCTGAGGTCAAGCTCTAGTACCACAAAAAAAAAAAAGATTGCTGGTCTACCAGACTTGAGAGTTCAGGGGAAAGTCCACTTTTTAGGGGGCTGCTATGCTCAGATTAATTCTGCAGGTTTAACTCTTAATGTCAGAAATCTGAACTGAGACTGGACACCTCAAAAAACAGGACAGGGAAGAAATTCTTGGAATTCTAGTCTTCTAAGAATATAGATCATTTAAAGCTAAAAGAAGTTTCCATAGCATCAGCGTTCTTGAGTTTTAACAGAAAATACCCTAGTATAGAGTCTTGAAATTTTCAGTTCTCCTAAAAGTCATAGACTAAGAGTTGTAAGGAGCCTTTTAGATCATCTGTTCATTTTTTTAAAGCAATAGTTATGTGTAAGAAGTACTCAATAAGTTTTCTCAAGGGTATTTATTAAAACTCACATTCACAGTCAGCTATCACCAACTATGTGCATTTCAATGCCAGAGAAATGCATCTAAACCCAATGCCATTCTAAAATCTTATCTTCCTATTTTCTTTCTTTCTTCCATCTTAGAAGAAAATTACTGATATTCTTGCCAAATCGGAGCCTAGACCAGGTACACCTGAAGACCTACAGAAGCTGATAAAGGACTATTATAGCAACAATCGCTCAGTGATTGAATTAGAAGAACTGAACCTACCAGGTACTGCTAGGCTTCCATTTTCCAATGGATGAGGAACAAAATGGGCTTGCTTTTCATTTACTATATATTATAGCATGTAATATATAGCCAGTAAACTAATATATTATCCATGTGCTAATACTCCTTTCCTCAACCAAATAGTTTAACTATTGCATGATTTATTAGTGTACTAAAAGATGTTTGTTGAATCTAATACTAATATTTGTGATTATATTTTCTTTTTCACTCTAGACTATTTTTTTTTTTTGTAGTACTGGAGTTTGAACTCATAGCTTATATCTTGAGCCACTCCACAGCTCTTTTTTGTAAAGGGTTTTTTGTTGTTGTTGTTGTTGTTGTTGTTGTTTGAGATAGAATCTCTTGAACTATTTACCTGGCTGGCTTTGAACTGTGATCCTCCTTATCTCTGCCTCCTTAGTAGCTAGAGTAACAGGCATGAAGCCTCTGTTCACACACAGCTCAAAACCTTCTCATGGTTCACCTAGTCATGGTTTTCTTTTTACAGCAGTATTTTGGGTTGTTGCCCAGGATTTTTCAAGCAAACTATCTGAATGTAGTAATAAAATTATTCATTTTTAGCAAGGTTGACACCTCACCCAGTAAGCCTACAGTAAGCCTACTGTAGTTTGAGATCTACTGCCCTAGAGTATTATAATTAAGTTTGCAAAATTAAAGTGACTATTTTTAATTAATTTGTAAATTTGATACACTCTAAAACTCTTTGGGGCTGGGATAGAAAAAAAAAAAGATGTCTTAAAACCATAAAAAAAAAATTGGGTATCACTGCTTCAGATGAGCTATTTATAGGCTACTAGGAATAGCTAATACTACTTTTGGAAAAAGTTGACAATTGCTTGATTTTCTTTTTCCACTACAACTTTATGCTTCCTAATATCTTGAGAAGCTACAAAACAGGCTGCTCCCTGAATTTTTGTAATTCCTTTGTGATATGCTTTTTTTTTAATTGCACTTTGGGTTTGGAGACATGAGTGCCCCATCTCTTTCTTTTCCAAGACAATTACCCTTTAGGGAACTGGAGGAGTACATTTACACATGAGCAAGATCTGGAGTTGCAGGCTTAGTGAGTCCAGATGACTCCAGCAGCTGTTACAGAAGACACTCTTCCCAGTTACCCAGCTCCTCGAGTGTGAGAGCCAAAGCTGACTGTTCTGTTGCAGGAACCAAGTGTTGTACAAAACTACTTTTCCAGCTTTAGCTGAAGTATGGTTTTTACCATGACTCAGTGGTCGGTTTTCCCTTCTGGCTGTTTTTTAGAACCCACTTTGAATTTAGGCAGGATTTGTAAATTAATTGGAATGCTGCTATTAAATAACCTCATAAACCTTGTGTTGAGAATTAAAAGTCAGAAGAAAACTTTAAGGAGTCCATTTAAGTTCCACAGTGATACTGTTTTATATATTGTTTTATTAAAGTTCAGTAACACAGACAAGAATGTGTAGTCATGGGTTTATTTAGGGAAGAAGGAAAGTATGTTGTAAACAGAACCAAAAAGAACAGGCTTTCACTCTCAGGTAAGCAGATAGGCCATTCTGAAACACAATAAAGTATGATGTCATTGGAAAGTTTAGGAGAAAGGCCCCAATCACTATGCTGATGAGAACAAGGACAGTCTCATTCTAAATGAAGTCCATGATAAGTAAGGAGAGGGAAATGACATAGGTTATTTGGAATAGGCTCATGAATAGGCATAAAGCCAGGTGTTGTGGCTCATGCCTGTAATCCTAGCTACTCGGAAGGGAGAGATGAGGAGGACCGTTGTTTATGGCCAGCTTGGACAAAAAGTTCACAAGAACAATAAAAGCTAGCCTGACATCCCAGTTGTACTGAAAGCATAAGTATGAGGGTGCTGGTCCAGGCTACCTAGAATAAACTTGAGACCCTGTTCAAAAAATAACTAAAGCAAAAAGGGCTGGGGGCATAGCTCAAGTGGTAAAGCACCTGCCTAGCACACATGAGGCCCTGAGTTCAAACCCCAGTACTGCCAAAGGAGGGATGGGTGCATGCCTGTCAAGTGGATATAATAATTAAAACATTGTTCCTATTCAGTTTGTCAAGTATCATACTTGGCTTTAATTTGAAGTTGTTTGTGTTTGTAGGGCTGGAACATTTCTTTGAAATTAATATTGTGTTCTTTACACTGTCAATGTCATATACATAGACACTTAATTAGGACTTCCAGGCAATAGTAACTGGGAACTAATTATACTCTACAGTCTCCTGATTGCTGCATTGTGGTTTAGGTCAGTTATCCAAATGCCCCTAAGCTAACTGCAACCAAATCACCCAGGAACTTCTTAAAAAGCAGCCCAGGCCCACCTTCAGGGATTCTGACTCACTGTGCTAGGGAGAGTTCATCCCAGGTGTCCAAATCTTCAAGCTCTCCAGGTGAGTCTGAGCATAAACAATCTTGGAAAATTGCAATTTTAAAAACTGTCATAGGCTCTACAGAAGTATTAAAAGGCAACATCTTTGAAACTAATTGCATAGTGTGAGATATATGTGCTGGGTCACAATATAAATTTCATTTAATTTAGTAATAATAACACTGCTGTGTTACAGAGAAATTTTTTGTTATAGAAAGAATTAAGTTGAAAACCATGACGTTATTTTGGTATACATATCAAGTACAGAGTTAATAATATTACTTAGAATTAACACTTACATAATTTATAGGTCATGATAGTGATTGATAGGCAAGGGCCTGTTTTATATTAGTGTGCTGTGTTGAGTGTTATTATGAGGTTGATACATCATTCCCACTCTTCCCAAATTCACATGCTATTTCCTTTCCTCATAAACATTTACTCTAATGTGTTGCTATATATTTTTAAATATGTATGTATTCTTATATGCATATATATTCTGATTATTATATTTGTCACGCACGTGTGTACATTTTAAATTTCATCTAAAAGACATTGTGCTGATCCTCTCATTCTTTCTTCACTTTAAATTTTCCCAAATATTCCTGTGTAGCTTTATGCACATTTAGGTCATTGCTTCTAGATGCTTCATAATATTCCAGTGTTTTCATCCATATATTACCCATCTATTTGCCCAGATACAGACACCTGCATTGCTTCTTGCAACTCAGTATCACAAATATTGCCAGAACAAATATCCTTGTATGTATCACTTTATAGAACACACAAGAATTTTCTTCCACCAGTTATGCAGAAATTAAATCAAGGGATTATAATGTATATAATCTTAATATTACTATTATCCAGAATGAGTATACCTGTTTACAATTCCATCTTACAGTTGACAAATGTTCCCATCACCCTGAATTATCAACAACACTGTATATGATACATCTTTTTAACATGTGCCATTCTGAATGTGTTGCCTTATCACTATATTAATTTACATTTATTTTTCTGATGACTGATGGGTTGAGCATCTCATAAATTTGGTGGTCCCTTCACTTTGCTTTTGTATATTGCCCATTCCATAGATTTGAAAAATAAAGATGCTTCAAAAGTTTTCTGAATGATATGGAAAGCTTCTATATCACTACACTAAGAAATATTGGAAACTCCATTCAAGACTAAATGTTTACAGCTTATTGCTGCTGCTGTTATTTTAAATACTAAACAACACTTTAAAATAACTATGGGTGCCAGTAGCTCACACCTTTAATCCTAGCTATTTAGGAGGCTGAGATAGGGAGGATCATGGTTTGAAGCCAACCTGAGCAAAAAGTTTGTGGACACACACACACACACACACCCCAAGAGAAAACAGCTTGGTGTGGTGGCACGTATCTATCATCCCAGCTATAGGCATGAAGCAATGAAACAGGAGGATCACAGTCCAGGCTGTCCTGTGCAAAAAGTGAGACCCTATCTCCAAAGTAACCACAGCAAAAAGGGCTGAAGTTGTGGCTCAAGCAATATAGCACCTGCCTAGCAAGTACGAAACCCTAAGTTCAAACTCCAGTACCACCAAAAGAAAAAAAAAAAAAAGAAAGAAAGAAAGAAAAGGAAACTAATGAGGGTTAGAGTATTACAACACCTGCCTAGCAAACAGGATGCACTGCATCCAAAACCTAGTAACCCCTAAATAAATAAATAATGAGCCTCCAATTCACACATGTTTATAACTTGTTCAAAAATACATCATTTACATTTATTTTGATTATGTGTTTGCAAAAGTCTTAACCAGGCATGTTTCTCCTATTTCTAGACTCCTGTTTCCTCAAAGCCAATGATTTGACTCACAGTCTTTCATCATACCTAAAAGAAAGTAAGTAAATTCATATTTATAAAAAATTATTCACTGGGTTTATTACTCTTAAAAATAAGGTTTCTTGACAAAAACTTCTAGACCTATATTTAAAATTGAAAATTTCCTCTTAGAAGTATATTCTTAGTGAAGAGGTTATTTGGTTTGGGTTTTTTTTTTTCTTTTTTTTTTTTTTTACTTCACCTTGGTATCATTTTTTTTTTTTTCTTTTTTGAGGCAGGAAATCACTATCTACCCCAGGCTATCCTGGAACTCAGAATTCTCCTGCCCTAGACTCCCATGTGCTGGGAGGTGTGTACTACCATGTCTGGCACTTGCTATTAATTTTTAACTTGTTTAAATTAATTCTTATTTTTCTTTGGCTTTGGGGATTTGGGTTTTGATCTCTTTTTGTTTTTTGGGTTTTTTTTAATTTTTATTTTATTCATATGTGCATACAATGATTGGGTCATTTCTCCCCTCTTCCCCCTGCTCCCTCCCTTACCCCTCCTTATCCCTCGCTACCCAGCAGAAACTATTTTGCCCTTATCTCTAATTTTGTTGAAGAGAGAGTATAAGCAATGATAGGAAGGACCAAGGATTTTTGCTAGTTGAGATAAGGATAGCTATACAGGTAGTTGACTGGCATTGATTTCCTGTACATGTGTGTTACCTTCTAGGTTAATTCTTCTTGATCTAACCTTTTCTCTAGTTCCTGATCCCCTTCTCCTATTGGCCTCAGTTGCTTTTAAGGTATCTGCTTTAATTTTTCTGCATTGAATGCAACAAATGCTAGCTAATTTTTTAGGGGTCCTACCTATCCTCACACCTCCCTTGCGTGCTCTCGCTTTTATCATGTGCTCATAGTCCAATCCCCTTGTTGTGTTTGCCCTTGATCTAATGTCCACATATGAGGGAGAACATATGATTTTTGGTCTTTTGGGCCAGGCTAACCTCACTCAGAATGATGATCTCCAATTCCATCCATTTAACAGCAAATGATAACATTTCATTCTCCATGGCTGCATAAAATTCCATTGTGTATAGATACCACATTTTCTTGATCCATTCGTCAGTGGTGGGACATCTTGGCTGTTTCCATAACTTGGCTATTGTGAATAGTGCTGCAGTAAACATGGGTGTGCAGGTGCCTCTGGAGTAACCTGTGTCACAGTCTTTTGGGTATATCCTCAAGAGTGGTATTGCTGGATCAAATGGTAGATCAATGTTTAGCTTTTTAAGTAGCCTCCAAATTTTTTTCCAGAGTGGTTGTACTAGTTTACATTCCCACCAGCAGTGTAGCAGGGTTCCTTTTTCCCCGTATCCTCCCAACACCTGTTGTTAGTGGTGTTGCTGATGATGGCTATTCTAACAGGGGTGAGGTGGAATCTTAGTGTGGTTTTAATTTGCATTTCCTTTATTGCTAGAGATGGTGAGCATTTTTTCATGTGCTTTTTGGCCATTTGAACTTCTTCTTTTGAGAAAGTTCTGTTTAGTTCACTTGCCCATTTCTTTATTGCTTCATTAATTTTGGGCGAATTTAGTTTTTTAAGTTCCCTATATATTCTGGTTATAAGTCCTTTGTCTGATGTGTAGCTGGCAAATATTTTCTCCCACTCTGTGGGTGGTCTCTTCAGTTTAGAGATCATTTCTTTTGTAGCAAAAGCTTTTAGTTTTATGAAGTCCCATTTATCTATGCTATCACTTAGTTGCTCTGCTGCTGGGGTTCCATTGAGAAAGTTCTAGCCTATACCTATTAATTCCAGAGTATTTCCTACTCTTTCCTGTACCAGCTTTAGAGTTTGGGGTCTGATATTAAGATCCTTGATCCATTTTGATTTAATAGTTGCATAGAAATGACCCAAGCCTTGTATGCACATATGAATAATAAAACAATAAAAAATATATATAATTGCATAGGGTGATATACATGGATCTAGTTTCAGTTTTTTGCAGACTGCTAACCAGTTTTCCCAGCAGTTTTTGTTGAAGAGGCTGCTATTTCTCCATCGTATATTTTTAGCTCTTTGTCAAAGACGAGTTGGTTATAGTTGTGTGGCTTTATATCCGGGTCCTCTATTCTGTTTCACTGGTCTTCATGTCTGTTTTTGTGCCAGTACCATGCTGTTTTTATTGTTATTGCTTTGTAATATAGTTTGAAGTCAGGTATTGTGATACCTCCTGCATTGTTCTTTTGACTGAGTATTGCCTTGGCTATTCGTGGCCTCTTGTGTTTCCATATAAATTTAACGGTAGATTTTTCAGTCTCTTTAATGAATGTCATTGGAGTTTGATGGGAATTGCATTAAACATGTAGATTACTTTTGGGAGTAGAGATATTTTTACTATGTTGATTCTACCTCTTTTTGTTTTATAACACATTAGAGTATTGAGCTACGAATCCTGAGAATAGTGTTCTAGTCCCAGGTCCCCCAGTATGATGGGATGGAGATAGTCCAATAAGTACTCCCCTGGGCTTGAATTTGTTATGTGAAAGATAAGGAATTGGACTATGTGAACTCTTTCCCAGTTGTGAAATCCTGATACTCTGTTCACATGTTCAGAATTCAGACCGTAATTATTACAGTGTCAATCTTATCTGATCTTTTTAGTATGTATTGTGTACAGCCAGGAATAGATTCTTCATATCAAATTGTTTATATTTGTGTCCAGCAATTAAATGGTTCAGATATAGAGATGTAACATTTTTCTTTCAAATTGTGAGCAATTCTGATGGTATCCAACTTGAGTTCCTAATCCTTTCTCAGCATTAAATTCAACAAATATATGTCTACATAGTAATAGAATAAAATTCACTGGAGTATAAGAACTAATAAAGTATGTAAAATAGTCAGCACAATGTTTAAGAAATATTTGTTGTGATTTAAATATCAGTTCCATTTTATATCTTATGCTGTCTCTAAAATTTATCATTATTGAATTAGAATTCTACTATTTAGTCAACATTGTCTCTAGACATCAAACATAACTTAAATAATAAAAACATAGTAATCTAAACTTTTTTACTTAGTTCTAAAACTAGTCATATTTAGGTGCTTGGCACAATATATGCTTCATGCTATAAATTAGTAATATTTCATTATAATCTAACATCTGGATACCAGAAAAATAGTTATATTTTTAAATGAGCAGTACTCATTATATTTTATTTTTCTAAAATAGTACCAAAGAAGTAGTTGGCGAATACTCAACTTTGCAGACCTATGTTTTGCTATGTTTAGAGTAATTTTCATGGTCTTTTATTTAGTCTGTCCTAAGTGGGTAAAACTTCGGAAAAACCACAATGAGAAGAAGTCAGTCCTGATGCTGATCATCTGCAGCTCTGCCATCCGAACCCTGGAGCTCATCAGGTTAGAAGTTTCACCAATTCTGTCTCACCAGTGATTTCTCAGTAACTAATGTGTGCCAAACTGGTAGGGTCCATGTGCTGGAGATAAAGCAAAATACACAGTCCCTGCCCTCGTGAAATTTACATTTCAGTGGAGGAACCAGCAAACAGGTAAGTATACATTATAATGTTATGAATAGTGACACATTATATAAAGAAAAAATAAAGCATGGAAATGAAATAGAAGTGGATAGGAAGCTGTAAGCTTTTCGAAGGACATTTGAGCAGAGACTTGAACAAAGTAAAGCCAAGTACCAATGTGGGAAGGGTATTTCTAGACAGAAGTGACAGTGAGCACAAAAGACCCTGAAGTAGGTGCCATTAAAAGATTTTGAGCAAAGGAGTCGCATTATCTCAGTCGACTTTTTAAAGGATCACTTTGGCTAATATGGGGAGAAACACATTGTGGAGGGTTAGGGTAAAATAGTGAGATCATACTAGCATAAAGCAGTTGGAAGCAAAAATGGAAGAAAGGATGTGACTTGAAATACCAACATGAAAAGATAGAATAACAGGGAATAAACTTACCAAAAGTCATACAAAGCAAACATTATATAAGTGATGGAAAACATTGAGAAGATCTTATCCCTATTCGATTGCAAATATATATCACAAAGTTTTGATAGTGAAAACATTATGGAATTTTCATATGTATGGCAGGCAGTGGAATGGAATAAAAAATTCAAAAACAGACTCACATGCATATGAAAAGAGCCTTTAGCAAAGGTGACAAATCAGAAATCAGTAGAGAAAAACAGTTTATTTAGTAAGTTGGGTTGGAGCAACTGAATAGCCATCCAGAAAAATAAAGTTAGATTCATATCTCACCTTTTTTTTTGGTGCTGAAGTAGAACCCAGGGACTCATACATGCTAAGCAAGTGCTCTACCACCAAGCTACATCTCCAGCCCTCTGTATCTCACTTCTTATACCAAGATTAATTCCAAATGGGCCAAAAATTTAAATGTAAAAATTATATATTAAAGATAATTTATCAGTGCTTTAGTAAGTGCTTTCATACACCTTTTCATTTACTGTATTTTTGTGGAATAAACAAAAAAGCTTCCACTGGGTCAGTGGTAACCTTCTCTGGCAGCCAGGTTCTGAGCCAGGCTCTGACTGGAGAGAAAACAAAAGGAAATCCAAATCAAGAGGAAAAAATACCTTGATCAAATAGATTAAGGTGCAAATGTGGGCAATCAGTAGTGATTTAGCATCTGTTTTTCTACATAAACTAATGTGGTCCTGGTTTTAGAAAAATAGTTGTTAAACTTTCATAGTCCTTTCAAACTCTCCTTTCTCCATCTAAGCACATACATAAAATTATGTCATGCACCCTTCCCAGTAAAGAAAAAGTGTTCCTTTCAACCATCTGTACCAAACATAATTGATCTTCAGTATTCCAATTTTTAGGCAAGCTGTACTTGCTGGACCTGAAATTAGAGCAGCTCGCATTAACTTTTCAGTGCCTTAAAAAGTACCACCAAAGGACTACTATCCCATTGTGTTGCTAACGGTAAAGAGGCTGCCTAGAGGTAACCTCTTAAAAACAAGTTGTAGAATTGATTCAACCTTTTACTATATATAAATTCCTTTCCAAGGGGCATAAAAGCACTGTGCTGTCACACTTCATTTACTAATTCTCACTATTTTTTGTGTCCCTGTAATATTATGATCCATTTCAGGGTTAAATAATTTGCAAAAGGTGACACAAGATTGCAAAAGGTGACACAATGATTTGCAGACACAAGAACCCGTTTTATACAGACTAATGTTTAATAATTCCAACTTTTGTAAGAATGTCTTTCCTCTTGAGAACCATGAGTTCTGTTAAATTATCTTCTTAGTTAACCATGGAGAAAGCTTATGTGTAAAAACACACATGCAGCAGAACTTGAATAACGTGATTCACTTTTCTGAAAACTCATGTTTCCTCCTGGTCATTGCTATTTTCCCATGTTAGGTATATCCCCAAATATTAGTCAGAGATTATTTGTTCATTTACACCCACTTCAACTCAAAACAGGATTTTAGGTGAGACAGAGAAATGCATACAACAAATAAACACGTGGTAAAAATGGAAGCAAAGAAAAAGTAAAAATCTGAAAGTCAAGTGAAGCCAGCTATGACTGTTGCTCAAGATTACTTCCATGAAACCTGTGCAGTTACAAAAGTGGCCCCAATTTCTGTGGGTCTACACTTTCCAGCAGCTAGAATAAGTTAGAAAACATTAACAGTTGCCACATACATGGCATTCTCTGAGTTTAAAAATAAATAAGAATTTCTCAAGAAATACAAATTTTCCCACGTTGACCTAGTGGCAGCATCATCAGTGTCATCTCTGAAATAAAACAATGGGCAGCCATTGCAATGGGCTGAAGGCCTGTTGCCAGAGCAGTTTGGAAAGGCAGTCGTGTATAGCAAACTCGAGTGGTCTTGACCCCCCAAGCGCTGTCTGAATTGATGTACATAGGTCCAGAGGTTGTAAAGTAACAGGCCAAGTTTACCTCTAAAGTCCCCACCTGCCTCCCAGAGCTGCCTCATGCATTTATAATGCCCACCCACTCTCATCCTTGAAATAGCCAGTCCTGTGTCTTTTTTGCCCCCCTCCTCCATCCTTGCTCTCTCCTTCCTTTTTGTTTGTTTTTTTTTTTTTCTTTTGGCTAAAACATATCCACATACCAAATTTTATAGAGAAGCTCAATCTACAAATGAGAGAAAAAAAAATGGTTATTAGCCCTACTTCTCGTTGGCAAGCTCAGCCTCTGGCTCGCCATCACAGCCACCACAGATAGACTTTTGTAGATGCCCTTGGGCTCTACGGAACACAAGCTGACATCACTACTCTATGATTTCTCTTATAACAGAATTTTGTATGCAAATACACTCCAGAATTGGACAGCAAATTCTCTGCCAGGAACCAGAAATGTAGAAATTCCATATCATTAGACAAGGGCAGATGCATGTGTTTGAATAATCAAGGAAGCCTTTGTACGGTTAACCTTGTCTATGAGAGCAAGCCTAGATATGGGCCCGAATAAAAAAGTCACCCCTGGGGGCTGATGGAGTGGCTCAGGCAAGAGAGTGCCTGCTTTACAGAAGCCCTGAGTTCAAACCCCAGTCCCACCAAAAAAAAACAAAAAAAGTTGCCCTAACTTAGGTTTTTATTTTGGGCAGTGCTTTGCTGTGTTGCCTAGGCTGGCCTTGAACTTGTAATCCTCTTGTCTCAGCCTCTGGAATTACAGTGACATGCCATTGTGCCCAGCAAGCCACCCCAATTTCATTGCAGAGATAGACTAACCCAAAAATCTCAGAAATTTTTGTGTGTGAGTATATACACATACCTGTGCCATACATACACACATTCTGTGAATGAGTAAAGAAAGATATAATACTTAAGTAGTCAACACTTCCCAGAATGAGTGAATTGTTTTAATCTATTAATCTATTCTTTTTCATTAGATCGATGACAGCATTCAAAGGAGACAGTAAAGTTATGAAATTATTTGCAAAACACATAAAGGTAAGCAAGGACCTGTGGTTCCTGATGGAAGATGTAAGTGATCCCTAAGAGCCACTCCCAGACTCATCTTCCTTAGCAAGTGTTTTCTTTGATGCCTTTTTTATATGACACTTTTAGCAATCATTCTGGTTTTCTTTGATTTTCATGCTTCTGTGTAACTACCTCCTCCCACTGCAGTCACTGTTCGGCTCTGCTCCATTCCCATACAGAAGCTGAGGTTTGACTGCTGTGTTCTGTGAGAGTTTAGCATTTTTCTAGGGAGATTCTTGATCCTAATTAGGATAGTCTTACTTGCTTTTTACTTTCTTAATTTGAAATAAAATGCTCAAAATTGACTTATGATTGTACTTTCTTAATGACTTTTCTTTCTTTTCTTACATGTTGGAATAGGTCCAAGAGCAGGTAAAGTTACTGGAGAAGCATGTGGTGTACCTGGGTGTGGGAACTCCAGGGAGAATTAAAGAACTTATTAAACAAGGTATGAAAAGATGACAGTGATACTCATACCCAGAGCTAGGAATTTTGCCTTACCCCCATGTGACTCTAGAAAACCGGATTTGGGATACAGAAAAGCCAGTGTTAATTTCCCAGTGGAAATCTCAGTTTTTAGTCTCTGAAATCAGCCAGTAAATTCAGTGCAGAGGGGAATAAGGGTTGTGCAACCTGCGAAATGCATTTTTCCCACCTATACATATTCAGATTCCAATTGCTGTAAGCAGATTAGTAGATCCACACAGCCTTCAATCTCAATTTGTATTCTCTGGAATTTGTAGAGATGGATATGTTGAACATTCTCTTCTCAGGTCAGTTTGAGTCTTGGCTCTGGTTGAGGGCAGGAATATAGCACATATCAAAACAAAAATGCAGTTTCTGTGAAGGAAGCAGAAGTATTCCAGATATTCCTCCCCGAGTACTTTTCTCTTCTCAAATCCCTGCCATGAAGGAGATTCCACCTTCCAGGTCTCATGTGCTTGGTGAGCACATAACCATGGACACACTTAAAAGAGAATGGCTTCTCTGCTTTCCTCAGAAGCAGTGATAATGCTGTGAAGAGAGTGAGTCCCAGAGTGCTTTCCATCAGGCAAGACCAGTGCTTTTTGTGCAGAGATCAGTTATGGGGGAAAGGATAGCAAATGAGGCAAAAAAACAACCAGGAGAATAAAAATCATTCTAATAAACTTATGTCATGAGGTCTTTATACTACAGCATCTCTCTCTGTCTGTCTCTTTCAGGAGGCCTTAATTTGAACCCCTTAAAGTTTCTGGTTTTTGACTGGAACTGGAGAGATCAGAAGTTGAGGAGAATGATGGACATTCCTGAGGTACTGTGTAATCAGCAATTGCCTTTAATCTTTTTTTTTCCAATTTGAACTTGAGTTCAAGTACAGTAATAAAGTCTTTGACATGGGGAGCCAGCACATTCTGGCTTTTGGAATGATTTCTATCTTTAATTCTGAGGTAACTATAATTATAGAGGCCATCTTATCCCCTTACACATAGCTATATCCTTTTCATGTGTTTTATAGGAGTCAGCTTTGCTGCCCATTAAGTGACTATGGCCCCTGCCACACTATGACAACATCTGTACCTCACCTTTAAGAAACTGTAAGATCTGAAGGACTTGGCCCCTTTTCCTGTGCCCCTTCTTACTGGCACAGTCTTCTTGCTTTCATCCTTACGTGTGTACTTTTGGCCAAGGTAGGAGGAGAAGGAACACAAATTTTCCTCATTGTTGGCATCTCCACATTCCAAAAAAACCCATTTACTTAATTTAGAAAGTTATTTTCATTTTGTGAGATGGAGAAATTTTTTGGTGCCTGTGGATTAGAGTTGAATGATTGAATGCCTTTATGAGCACACATTATTAGCCCATTATGTATTTATGAAAGTAATCCATTATTATATGTTAAAAATTGATTTTGCCGCCCACCATGACATCATGGGGCCAGTTTTTCAATCTAGTCTGATGTCATCAAGTAGCTATTAGGAAAAAAAAAAGGAGAAAGTGGTTTGCACGATAATAAACATGACTGCCAGTCACCAACCAGGAATAAATCATGACCATAACTATCAAAGAGGCTTGGAATTACTCCTCCAAGCATGCTGAATGAACTAATTTACCACATAAAACTGCTTCCCCAGGTTGACCTAACCTGATTATAATTTATTGATGAGTTATATCAGACAACAATATCATGCATCAGCTAAAGTTAAAAGACAATTTATTCATACAATACACACACACTCATCCGAGTTATGTATTCCACCCCCTGAACAGACTAGGTTTTTTTAAAAACTAGTTTAACAGATTTGATTTTGGCACATGAAGCCACATTTGATGATTTTTGTTACAATGTTAAAACCTGATTAATCTACTAGTTTTCCAATTATAATAATAAGAAATAATGTCAAAAAATTTTGTTATCATAGTTATTTTCATTATGTTGATGTCATTAACATTCATCCTAGGACAATAAAATCCTATATAGGAATCTTGTGTATAATCAGGGTTACAGGAAATGTACTTTGGTATCCATGAACATTTGTATGGCATGTCTATTTTGAATGGCTACAAACAAAAGGGCACTGTAATGAAACCCATGTTTCATTAGGGTTCATTAGAGGTACTCTTCCCTTTATTTATGTGACTATTCCAACTCTAAATTAAATGTGGACTAGGACTCTTCCCCTGTCTGATTCTGGGCATGACAGCTGGATGAATACCTGGGAGCCCAGTTGATTGCTTTCACCAAGACCATCTTTGCTTGATCATAGTCTTTTTTGCGGAGGGAGGGGGACACCTGGGGTTTAATCCCAAGGCCTCACATATGCAAGTAGATCATAACCTGTTTGTTTTTGTTTTGGTCTTTTCTCTTATTTAGATAAGAAAGGAACTTTTTGAACTTCTAGAAATGGGAGTACTCAGTCTATGCAAGTCAGGATCCTTGAAGCTGGGCCTTTTCTAAATCTGGTCCTGATGAAGTTTCCAGTTTTCACATTGGAGTTTGCATCTTTTTTAATGGCTCTGACACATTGCAAACGCTCTATAAATATCAACAATGATGTTAGTTGTATCACCCAATGGACCGCGGGGAACATTTAAGGAAGATTCTTTGACAGAAATGAATCTGTGCCTTTACAAACTCCCTCATTTAATAAAGAATTGCTGGCTTGTGTGTGTTTTTTGTTGAGCAAACTGAGTTTTTCTGTCACCAAACTGGCCTGTGCTATGACTGTACAGGAGACAGGAAAGAGCAGTTGGGTGACCTGAGGCCAGCCTCTTCCTTCTCTGAGCCCCAGTCTCATCAACTGAGAAATAGGAAGGCTACCTCCCAAGATTGTTGAGGATTCCATGAGATGGTACATATGGAGCAGATTTGTAAAGTGAAGTATGGTCCCAGTGTGAAGTGTGGCCACGGAAGCTAGAAAGAGCCACAAGTGAATTTGGCACTTTGTAAACACAGAAAAGACAGTAATACAACTACATCTCTATTATTCATTTATGTTGTTTAACTGTTTACTTTGAAGTAATCTCAGATTTACAGAATAGTTACAAAAATAATATAGATCATTCCCAATGTCCCCTTTCCTAGGTTCTCCCGATATCAACATCTAGTATAATCATGATGGTTACTAAAAGTAAGAAATCAGCATCAGTACTGAACAGTTAACTATACAATAGCTGTTATTCAGGTTCATGAGTTTTTCCACTGATGTCCTTTTTCTAGTCTAGGATCCCAAATTGCATTCAGTTGTTATATCTCCTATAATGACTGTTCCTTTTCTTCTTTCATGACCTTCACACTTGGTGAGTATTCATTAGGTATTTTGCAGAATGTCCCTCAATATGGATTTGTCTATTATTTTCTTTGATTTAGTTAAAGTTTCCCTTTTTTGGCTACCACCATAGTAGTGCTATTTCCTTCTCAGTGTATTCTATGAGGAGATTCAGAATTAATGATGTCAACCTTGATTACCTGGTAAAGTTGGTGTCTGCCAATTGGTGTCTGCCAATTTTCTCCACAACAGTTACTATTTTTCCTTTTGTAATTAATATCTACCTAAGAAAAAATACTTTGAAACTGTGCAAATATATGGTTTTCCTCAAATTTTTACCCAGAAATTTTCAACAATCATTAATAGTTCTTGCCTGCAGCAATTATTACTATAGTGATTTTTGTATTTACTTCATTCCTTTAGTATTTGTAAATTATAATTCCTTTGTAAGAAAAAGCTATTCCTTTTATCCCATTTGATTCTTTGTTCAGTTATTATTTGCATCACTATGGATTCATGAAAATTTATTTTTTTCTATAGGCTGTAATGCAATCCTATTATATTTTATTTTGTTGATCAAATTCCCTTTTCCTGTTCATTTAAATAATGATGATTATCTACTCTGTACCAAGCCCTGTGTTTATGACTCTCACATATAGTCTATCATATTTAATCACTGAAGTAGTTCTGAAGGAAAAATAATGTTATTCACATTTTATAGACAATAAGACTGAGTCTAAAAAGGGGCATATACTACTTCAAATAGTAGAACCAGAAGTCAAACCCAGGTTTCCCATTTCACTTCATGACATCAAGTTGTCTAGAGATTCAGGAATATAAAGCAAACAAGATAATTAAACAAAAAGAATCCATCACTGATGGAAGTTTTAAACAGCCCTCACAAGCCAGCAAATCAAAGTTCAGCAAATCACACACTCCTGCTGCTCATGCAGTTCTACAGACTAAAAGCTGCACATGAGGATTCAGAGAAAAGACAAGTGTGTTCTATGCTCAAGGATCTGACTAGGACCCCAAAAATTAAAGGAAAGAGGAAAAAAGAACCACTATGGAATGCAATTTCATTAAAGCTATAGCTAACCCTGAACTTCTAACCTTAGCAAGTGAGATATTCTCAGCCAATGATAGGAAAAAAAATAGATCAGATACCTTCCCAATGTAGGCATTTAAATTCCTGTCAAGTGACATGTCTTAGATTAATCTGAAAAAAATGCCAAGCAATTTTTAAGAGAACATATCTGCAAATTAAGATGTAGTCTGTTTTGGTCAGAATTCAGACCAGTCCACCAAGTTACCCTTGGCTTGCTAAAACCAAAAAAATGAGACCATCATGAACAGTATGTGCGTATGTAAGTATGTCTGTGTGAATGTGCCCCACTTCCTGATTTTATGCTCATTTAGTACATTTACATCCTAGCAACTAATAGGAAAAAAAATGAGATATAAGGCAATCTCAAATATATGAAATGTATCATAATGCTTAAAAAGGCTACTTACCCTGTGGTTAAAAATAATGGCAGAAATTTTAAGAATACTCTCTGAAATTTCCAATGATAACACAAGAGATGTTAACAATTTGTCATATAGGTAGGTATCTGTCTAGTTCAGTGCCCCTTAGGGGACATTTGTAATGTCTGGAAATGTTTGGTTACAGAACTGTGGGGGTGAGGGGCTAATATTGGCATCTAATGGGGGATAGTGACTAACATTTAGCAAGTAACAGCCAGGGGTGCAGCTAAACATTCTGCTATTCTACAAAGCCAAGAAATATCTAGGCCAAAACATCAATAGTGCTGTGGTTGAGGAACTGTTTACTGAAGAGCAAAGAATATGAAATATATTTGCAAAGTTAAGGTAGTTTTATTTAGAAGAGAGAAATAAGTGAATATAAAATGTTTATCTGGTATTGCTCAAGAATAGTTTGTATTTACTATCTGTGATATCTAATTTTCATGTGTCCACTTGACTAGGCCACAGAGTTCCCAGATATTTAGTATTTCCGTGAGAGTATTTTTGAATGAGGTTAATATTTACAATGTTGGAAGTGAATAAGGCAGATTATGCTCCATAATGTGAGTGGGCCTCATCCCATCAGTTGAATGCCATATTAGAACCAAAGCCTGACCCTCCCCCGAATAAAAGAATTCTGCCTGGCACTTTCTAACTGAAAGATTGGCTCTTTCTGAGTCTATACCAGCCTGTTGGCCTTTAGGATTCAACTGGAATATTGACTCTGCAGATTTTGGACTTACTTTTTATAATTGTGTAAGCCAGTTCCCTATAACATACACATACAACGTAGTTTTAGATTTTGGTTGGTTTGGGTTTATTTTTTAAAAGCCTAAGAAGTACTGTTCTTACTAGTTTGTTAACAGGAGTGTAACATTATCTGTGTAATATACTCCCACCCAACATTGGACCAGATACCTAAGTCACAAATATACCTGATATTTTGTAGGCCAATCCTATACATATAACATAATATAATGCATATATTATTATATATTGTATTATTATTGTGTATAATTATATAGTTATAGATTATTATATTATAATACATAAAATATGTGAGCCCAATTGCTCACATAAAGCTATCTGATGACAACAGTCAGAGCAGTCACCACCTCCATGTCAGATTCAAATGGCATGCTGAAATTTTCTCATTGGTATTTTACCTTTTTACCAATTTTGCAAGCTTGAAGAATTGACTAAATTGGAAACCTTCTAATGTAAGTATTTGCATTTACTTTATATTCTTTTAAACCAGATTGATACATTTGCCAAAGTCATTGCCTACTTTTACATAAAATGAGTCTACCATGGCTTCTCTGCCTGATACTAATTTCTTTGTTTTAAAAAAAATCCTAATTCAGCATCCTTATTGCCAGTCTTTATTTGTTTTGAGGTTCTGGAGACTACAGAACTTAAGGCTTGTGCTTGCTAGACAAGGGCTCTCCCACTCAAGCCACACTCCAGTCCTTTTAGTTTGCTTTTTAGATAGGGTCTCACATTTTTACCCAAGCCAGCACAGAACTGTGATCCTCCTACCTCCTGAGTTGCTGGGACCATAGGCATGTGCCACCATGCCCAGCCTTAATGGCAATTTTAAAGAAGCAATTATTAATTGTTAACAGCCTAATGTTAGTGAATTTCTAGTAATGGAGAAAACCTTAAAACCAAACCTAATACCACACTACAAGGCTGAACATCTAGCTGATTATACTTTTTTAGCTTCATTTGATCTGCTCTAAAGCATGTACTTGAGAGAAGGTAGGAGGAGATGTTTTAATCTGTATTTTCTACTGAGGTCTTTCTTACAGGTAGAAAAAAAATGGAAAGCTGCTGAAATTAAACAACTGCTCTGCAAACCCCTGTTTGTTTCTCCCTTCCTCATCACAAATGGCAAAGCTGGCTGTAATCCAACAACATTTTTCCAACTCTTTATCCATGTTAGGCAATAGCCACATTTAGGAAAAAGCTGACAACCCTAATTTTTATTGTATTAATCTCTAAGGATTTAGGCAAGTTCCTAAAGATAAATCAGTTTTGCCTCTTTCAGGAAGAGCTTGCCTTAAGTTAGTCACCAAATCCCAGAAATAACCCATAGTATCACCACATGTTGGTTTTCAAAGACCTTGCTAGGGTCTGTCCCTCCAGGGCATGCCATTTAACAACAGGCTTTCTGAGCCTGAGTAAAATGTACCTAACAGTGGCTGAGGAGAGCTAAACTCCTGGTGAATAACAGCCCTTGTTAAGAAATAAGTCCAGGAAGCAGAAAAGACTTCACAACTTCAAATGAAGTTTCATGTAATTCTTCAAATAACATTACCATTATGTGGTATTTCTATGAGTAGGAATGTTCTAAATGTCCCAAAAGTATATCTCAGTCACCTACAGGACCAAAATGGAGAGAAGACCGGAGCGGGACCTATCAAGACAGCCAGACAACACTGCCATGAAGCAGCAACAGTTGCCGGGCCATCAGCTACATTTCTCCGCCCCCGTGGTCCTCTCTATTTTTTTTGCCACAGCAGCATTCTGCCTTTGTATGGGTATCATCCTTATATTGTCTGCAAAGAGCACCAAGGAAATAGAGGTTTGTCCCATTTTTACATTTGTAATAACAGTTTCCAAGAATTTTCAGCTTCAGGACTACAAACGGAATTGCTCAGACTAGGAACATATCCCCTCAGGAGGAAATTAGATGAGACTGACATTCCTCTTTTCGGCTGGCAGGCTTAGATGGTAAGGGGGACTGTGTGTGGTTTCATTCAGCATTGTTCCAGCTTGAGACTGGTCACACTGATCAGCTCAGCTATATTTGTCTTACAAGGGCCTGGCAAAGTCAGGGGCTTTTTATACGGGGACAGGAGTGAGCAATTAAAGGTAGGAGAGAAGGCAAGGCCAAATGACGTCCAGACACTCGTGAATCATATTGCTAAAGAACACAGAACCAAAGATACATGTCTTCGGGTTTTAAAATATATTTTCATGTATTTCATTTGTCATGTTATTTTTTTTCCTGTGTAAGTAACAAGTAATTGTAATACTTATTGGGCACATTGTGATATTTTCAGTACATGTATGCAGTGTATACTGAGCAAATCAAGGTAATTAACATTTTCCTCCTTTTTTCATTTATATTTGATGATTTCTAGCTCCTCTTCTATATCTTCATATAATATATAATAAGTTATTATGAGCTATAGTGATAGGACTGTGCTGTAGAACACTAGAACTTAGTCCTGGCTTCATTTTGGTGCCCATTATCCAACTCCCTATATCCCACCCCCCCACCCCACCCCCGCCTTCTGCTTACCCTTCCTAGTCTCTAGTTAGTTACTGTTCTGTTTCAAACTGACTGTTTTAGCTTTTGCATATGAGTGAAAACATGCTGTATTTGTGTTTCTGTGTCTGGTTTTTTTCACTCAGCATACTGTCCTCCAGTTCTATCATTTTGCTGAAAATAACAGGATTTCATGCTTTTTATGGCTGAATAATGTTCCATTGTATGTATAGCACATTTCTTTATACATGTCAGTGGACGCTGAGGTTGATTCCAATGTTTGGCCTTTACAAATAGGACTGCAATAAACACGGGAATGTAAGACTCTCTTTGATGTGCTTATTTCATTTCCTTTAGATATTACCCAGAAGTGGCTGGATCATATGGTTGATCTATTTTTAGCTTTTTCATCATAGCTGTACTAATTTACATTCCCACCACAGTGGATCCTTGCCTTTTTTTTTAATAGCCGTTCTAAGACACAATATCTCATATGTATTTTATTTGCATTTTCTTGGTAGCTAATGATGTTCAGCATTTTTTCATTTGCTTTTTAGCCATTTTTATTTCTTCTCTTAAGTGTCTATTCAGATCATTTGCCCATTTTTAATTGGATTATTTGGGGTGAGTCTTTTTAATTCTTTATATATTCTAGATAATATTATTTGTCAAAGGAATAGTTTGCAAATATTTTCTCACATTCTGCAGTTTATCTCTTAACTGTCAGTTGTTTCCTTTGCTCTGCAGGTGCTTCTTAGTTTGATTTAGTCCTATTTGTTAATTTTTCTTTTGTTGCCTATGCTTTTAGGGTCTTATCCAAAATTGTTTATACCAGTGTCTTAAAGTGCTCATGTGATAATTTCATAGTTTCATATCTTATATTTAGGTCTTTGATCTACTTAGAATAGATTTTTGTACTGGGTGAGAAATAGGGGCAATGTATCATTCTTCTGCATATGGATATTCAGTTTTCCTAGCTGTTCTTTCTCCCATGTATATTTTTGGGTCTTTGTCAAAAAATCAATTGGCTGTCGATATATGGATTTATTTCTAGGACCTCTATTCTGTGCCCCTTGTCTATCTGTCAGTTTTTATGTCTATACCGTGCTGTATTGAGTATAGCCCTACTGAATGTCTTCAAATGAGGTATTGTGATACCTTCAGCTGTGTTCTTTTTGCTCAAGATTGCTTTGGCTATCCAGTTTTGTTTTGTTTTATTTTTTGCTTCCATATGAATTTTAGGATTGTTTTTTCTGGTTGTGATGAAATACCACTGGTATTTTACTGGAGATTGCAGTGAATCTAAGTGCTTCAAGTAATATGGACAATTTAACAGCATTAATTTTTCCAATCCATGGACATGGAAAGTGTTTCCATTTTTTGTGTGTGTCTTTGATTTCTTCCATTCGTATATTTGCAGTTTTTGATTATAGAGGTCTTTTACTTCTCAGTTAAAAATTGTTCCTAGGTATTTTATCTTTTGTAGCTACTGTAAATAGGATTGCTTTCATGATTTCTTTTACAGTAAGTTCATGATTAGTGTGTAAACATGTTGCTGATTTTTGTGTATTGATTTGTATCCTGAAACTTTACTGAATTCATTTGCTAGTTCTAATAGTCTTTTGGTGGAGTCCAGGTTTTTCTCTATGTAGACTCATGTCATCTGCAAATAGGGATAATTTGATGTCTTTTAAGGATTGTGACCTTCCCTTTGCTAATGAACTCCCTCTGAGATCTAGGAAAGGCAAGAGCCCAAGCCTTTCTGTCATCTCAAGGGTACTTAGCAAAATAAGCTAAGTTCTGCTTAACATGAGAAAAGCTGAGGCTAAGGACACACTCCTCAACACAAGCCTTTTGCTAATTTTATTAATAAACTATTGGATACCAAAAACTGATCTTGATAGGAGACACAAGAGCTGGTCTAAGTCTTGATCAGCCATGCCTATATTCAGTCTAATGAATTAAGTGCATGTTTCCTCCAAATCAGCTCTGAGCAGATTACCAAACATCTCAGACCCAGTGACCTCCACAATGAAAGCAGCCATGGAAAGCTGATCTGTCTCTTCTCCCCAGATGGCTACTGGCAAAGTTATAATGAAGGCTAAGTCTGTCAGCAATGATTTAACATGTATGTGTGTTGGAAGGTGCCTAAGAGTTCTGTCGGCATGTAGATATGCATGGCATGTAGATGAGGACTTGTTGATTCCTGCCCTCAGTGAGCTCTAATGATTGTATAGTTTTACTGGTAGGTGATCTCAGAAGACCCTGGTTGGGAAGATCTTAGGTGTTTATGCCTCACAGACAAAGAATTGGACAAAAACACAGATTGCAAAGCACTAGTAGTGTTTTATTGAAAGGAAAAGAAAAGTATAAGCAGGAGGATACATGGCAAGAGAGTGGTAGTCTCTGGCAAGGTGGCACAGAAGCCCCAGTCTTTGTTCAAAGGGCAATTTATTAGTTGTTAGGGCAAATTCTGGGCAGTCTTTGCAGGAGGGACTATGGTAATTAATAGGTTTAACAAGGGCTTGTTGTATAACATGGTGTAATCTACACATGCTCTTTTGCTGATTCCCATACTTTTAATTGTATGTATGAGATATGACCAGTATTCACAAGGTCTTAAGTAGAGGGCTTTACCTGAGAGGTCAGATTGAAGACAGATTTCCCCTTCCTGGCATGTGCTATTTTCTATTCTGAGCTTACCTGTATAGTGGTCCCTCATATCTGCAGGGTATTGGATTCCAAAATCCATGGATCCCCAAGTCTCTTACACAAAGCTGTATATTTGCATATAACCTACACACATCCCGTTGCCTACTTTAAGTCATCTATAGATTACTTATAATACCTAATTCAATGTAAATCCTAAGTAAATGGTTGTTATACTGTATCATTTAAGGACTCATGACAAGGAAAAATGTGCACACGTTTAGTACATACACAATTTTTTTGGCGATATTGGGGTTTGAACTCAGGTCTTCACACTTGCTAAGCAGGTGCTATACCACTGGAGCCACTCTTGCCAGCCCCAAATGCAATTTTTTTCAAGCATTTTCCATCCATTGTTGGCTAATCCATAAATGTGGATTCTGGTTCTTCCTTTTTTCCAGTTACCCACAGTCACCTACCTGGGAATACAGTCTTCACTAACAGGCAGCCATTTCTCAGTCATGTTACCTCATGCATGAGATGGTGACCTCACTCCATCATTGGCTATTGACCTAGACACCTTTGCAGACATCTATTAGCAAATGCTGTCATCTCACAGATACTAGGCGTATTTTCCCATGGATTTTTCTTTTATTGTATCAACTAGGATTGCATTTTCACTTTACTTTTATACAAGAAAACTAGAAACCACACATGTGCAAATTTTCATTTCAAAATATATTTTTCATTTGCACATGGAAGTGTTTAATAATATGAGTAAGAAAGTACACATTCCAGGTCAATGCAATCAAGAAGAGATCTAGTAGAAAAGAATTCTGAGTGGGCCTTTCCTCATTCAGCCCCGGGGCACAAAATGAAAGTGCCCGCTTTGTAAGTCACTTTAAGCAAAAATGATAATTTCTGTCTCCACTTCTGTGAGGAGCAGACTGATGTTTGCTCCATTTTTTAGCTTTAGATTTACAAGGTCACTTGAACACCAAATTGAGGGTGCTGTCATTACGTGCACAGTAGATTAGGAATATGCTTTCCTCTTCAAAATTTTTAGAGCTAGAAAGCAATATAGATATCATCTACTCATCATTTGGTCATGAAATATGTCTTATAATTTGATGTAGATATAACTCAAAATGGAATCTGTGAATGTATTCTAGTATAGTGACCTTACGGGTGCATTAATTACTTCATGAAATGGTGCTGATAAACAAAATGTTGGTCCTGGGGGTTACATACTTCACTCCAGATGGGAGCTTGGCTGAACTCGAAGCCCATTTCCTCAGTTGCAGTTCAGTGTGCCCTCTCTCAATTAGAATACAGCCCTGTTCTTTAATGCTTTTTTATAAATTGAAATGTAATTCTACAAACAGGAAAGTCATAAATATTATTGAAATGAGACTTCAAACCACACTGTATATTTAAAAAATGATTTAAGTAAATAGTACAGTAGTAGACTTTTTACTAATCTTTAGTATTTACACTTTACCTCTGGGCTTCAAGCCCTCAGCAGCTTTGAAACTATAAAAAATTTCTTCTGTCTTTCTTGCTAATATTCTCTCCCAAAGAATCATATATCCTATATCTCCTTACCAAGGAGAAAGCAGCATCCTCACTTTTCTGCTCCTCCACACTCCCACAATCCTCTCATGACTCCTCAACATGGTGAGGGAAGCTGCATCACCCCAGGATAGCCCTGGGCCCTTGAAGGGAGCCCTCCTGTAGGGTAAGGGAGCCATGGATCTCTGAGCTTCCCCTCCCACTGTTCTTCCAGCTGCAACGTCACAAAACAGTGCGTTAGCCAGAGTTTACAGGAGTCACATATTTGGGACATATGATCATTTTGTAAAACTTTCATTTTACCACTTATTTACAGAATTTAACTTTTAAATAAAAGAATGCAACACCTTTTTAAGACTAGAATTATTCTACATACATCAATAATCGTATTTGGAAACACTTCTTTTTTGTGTTTGGTTATTTTTAGTAACTTCCCCAGGATGCCATGTAAAATAAATCATTAGCATGAATATTTTCCATACAATAAAATGGAAAAACAGTGAAGCAACTTCCCCATAAAAGTGATTAGACTCAGGCCATAAGCCCAGTTTTCATGAGCCATTGACTAATACGTTCCTAGTGCCACCTCTTAAGGACTAAGAGGCAAGGCTTCATCCCAACAGGTCTCATAAGTATACAGCAGAAACACTGAACTCCAGCCCAGCAAAATGCTGCCAGGTCCTCAAAAGACTTTAGGAAAGACTGCTCCTCTAGAACAATCCAGAAACATTTGCCCTGCACAGTAGCCTGCTCTTCAGCCATGTCATAGGCTGCACTCCAAGACAGGTTTGAGACTTTGGTGGACTGAAGTGTTGAATTTTAAAATATGTACCCATGTACCTTTTAAATTAATAAGTTTTCTTTTCCCCACATGACAGATTAATTATACAAAGACATGTGCAAATTGTTCTGAAATGCGGGAAGATGCCTCTAATTTTAACGAAGAATGCACCTGCTCTATTCCCTTTTACCTTCAAGAGAAAATGGAGGTAAGTGAAATTCAAGAATTCAATTGACTTTATTCTGATTTACTTCTTAACTCTCCAAAGTAACTTCATAAATTCCATCAAATGCTTTCTCAAACCATAAAATGTAAGAAATAAAGCAGGGTGGAGGTGACAAATTTTACAAATTATTGAGTTAGTGCCCCCCACATACAACTTGGCTTTTTTAATTATATTCTTCTCCTTTGTCTCTTTGCTTCAAAATTCTTTATTTACTCAACTTTGTAACATAATTATAACTAGTCAAACAGGTTTTATTCTAAATGTCAGCATAGGACATTTAGAATAAAATGATCTCTATGGAGATCATTAAGTTTAACCATCTCATAATGAAAAAATTAATGGGCTGAGAGATTAAGTGATTTAGCCAAAGTCAAATAAGTTTATGGAAAGGGTGTCAGCTGCTAGGACTTCCTTGGATCCCCCCACTCCAAATCATTCTACATATCCCATTGCCTAATCCCAAGGAGTCTCTGGCCTGGCTTTCAGGTATTATGAAAAATAACAAAGAAATATTAAGAGACATCCCTGCTCTTAGTTGATTAAAGTCTCATGTTAGTCCAGGTCATCTGAGAAGCAGATGCTTAAGACAGGATTAGACATGCAAGAAATTTACTGGGGATTAACACCTGTGAGGGACATGGGGAGCAAGAAGGAGTAAGCTATGAAAGCTATCAGAGCACAAAACAGCAATGACCCAGGAGAAAGAGAGGAGTAGGGAGGGATGGAAGGAGGAAGGGGGAAAATTGAAGGGTTTTTCAGGAAATGATGATGAGTTTCATTTGGGACCAGCTGGGTCTGAGGTAGAATAGGGCCTTAAATGCTCAGTAGGAAGCTGGAGAGCAGCCCTGCCTGAATCTGATTCATCCCACATAGTCTCAGCTATGAGGTGAGGGAGGAGGACAAGGTCGGTGTGGCAGATGCTGCAGGGTAGGAGTTCAGAGTCCAGATGATATAACAGGCCCTTGAAATACCTTTGAGGAATTAAATGAAATATATTTTTCATTTGATTAAGTCTTGACTACCACCAGGTAAGACTCTAGAGGTCCTGAAAAGGCTCCTCAGCTGTACTGTAGGGAGTATAATTGAAGGATGGTAACATCTGTGCTCTGAAATCAACACATTTGTATAAAGGCCATGATGCTTCTGGGGGCCCCAAAAGCCAGTTGTTGAGCATAAGAGGAATACTGAGGTAGGCTCTTTTCAGGAGAGAGACTCCTTTGAGATTTTCTTCCTTCCTTTTATTCCTCCCCACCCCCTTCAGGTGCTGAGGATTGAACTTGCTGAAATACTCTTAAAAATACATTGCAGTCTAAGACCTTCCTCCTCCTGCCTCTTCCTCTCTCCTTCTACCGTCCTGTTCCTCCTTCCCTGCCTCTTTCCTTCTTAAGAACCCAGAATGCTTAAATTTTTTAATAAAAAATCCAAAAGATAAAACCATAAAGGCTTTGGTTCCCATTTGTTCATGTCCTTCGAAAGACACTTGAAGTGTTCCAGTTGCCGACCATTCCTTTCATACCAAGGCTTCTCATAAGAACCCAACCATATTTCTTTGGGCAATCACAGGGCCTTTGGCTCTCTAGTTGTCACACATTACCTGTGCTGGAACATAGGCAATGAATCCACAGGAAACTCTGTCTTAAACAAAGGAATCCTGCACAAAGTGCCACTGAGTTTCAAGAGAAGACATGCCATAAAGTGAATTGTGCCTCCAGAAGCAATCAAAAAGATCATTATCTTGGAGGAGGCCTTGTTAAGCTAAATCTTGGACCGAGAATTATTGAAAGGAGGTTGTTGAAACACTCCAGTTCCTAGTGTAGCAAGTACTGTCTGCCTGTTTATTTTGTCATTTATGTGCGTATATAACTCTGGTTTAGTAGAATTCTCTTTGTTGTCCAAGAAAATATATGGTAAATTCCATTCTATGGATTTTATACTTTCTACAGTCAGGGGTGTGAGGAAATGCAATCAGTCATTCCCACTAGCCTGGCTAATGTGCCTTCATACCAAAGCTTTCTGGTGATTGTGTTGCAGCCTGCCTTTTTGTCATAATTTAGCAGCATCTCATTTCAGTATCCCAGATACTTTCTTCTACAAATGACCAAGTTCTTCGCATTTCTTGTTTTGTGTAACTAGCTACACTTACTACAACATTTCTTTAAGGCTTCCATACTCACCCTTAAGAAGTGTTACCAAAAGCCTTTCCAAAATGCTGGTTTTGTATAGAGATGAAGAATCAATGGACACAGGGAATTGTAAAGGAATGCTTTTGTGTTTCTCACACTGAATATAGCACTGAACACCTGGGAGACATTTAGTAAAGTTGGGCCTTCTTATTTGGGTTGCAGTCCTTTATCATTTTGAAGGTATATAGTAGATTAATTATAAAGTTACATTGGAAAATTTTCTATGTGCTGTTAGTAAAAACTATGATTATATTCATCCACATACATATTTCCACCTGCACTGTTTGTAAAATCTGCCTCAAATCTAGGCTGGGGAATCTCAAGGTCTTCGTATGTCACCATAAAAGTAAGACCATGATGATAGCCTGTGGGTGGGCAGTCTCACACAGCAGGCCCTGTGAAAAGGCATCTCCCATCATGGCAACAAGACTAGGTGAAAGTCACCTTCTTGTGGATTAATTAATTGCTCCATTCTCGCCATTTTTTGGGTGAGTACTTTGTGCCATGAACTGTGCTAGACCAAAGAGATAAAAAGACAAAAACTTGTCTTTCATGTGCCGGGTATGTGCATGCACTTAAACATGCTCGATGACTGCAATTTTAAGTATATTATATGGATTTGCTTTGAAATTACAGGACTTTGGATGTCTACCACAAACCAGTTTTCCTGACTTCGCTGGGAAATGACAATATTTGTAAACTGAATTTATGTATTGAAAATACAAAGCCTGGTTATAAGATTTTTTTCTAGGCAAGAGGACAGCGATATGCTGGGAAGCCCCGGTGGTGAGGGTCCTTGTTCCACACTTAGATGGAAATCAAAGGCAGACTCCAGCAGCTAAGGTCAGAAAAGTTTTATTTGCAGAAAAGAGAAAGGAAAGCCCACATAGGGTCACGTGGCGGGACCGGAAACTGTGGACCCCTGAGTCAGGTTGGAAATCAGATTTTATAGCTTTTTTATTGCCTGAGGGCAGAGATTTTTGCATGGAAAGATGTTGAAGGAGAGATGTCTTCCTGGTGCAACAGATGTTTCTTGGGAAGGAGAAGGGCGCTTTTTCCCCCCTGGCTAATTGTCACCTTTTGAGAATACGTGGACCTCCCGCAGTTCAACAGTAGCCCTTAAGAAAATGTAAAAATAATTTACTTTGTCATTATAATAATTCTATTTAGACCAGACTTCCCAACAGTGATTTTTAGGTGATTTCTTAAGTTTCTGTTTCCTAGAAAGAAGCTTTCAATTCCCATCAATTTTTTCTGAACTACTTTTCATTTTAAAACCTTTTGTCAATGCTTATTAATATTCCAGTTAATTTCTCTTGTTTTCTTCTTATTTCTTGCCTTTCCCCCATACAGGGTAATGTTTACATGTACTACAAATTGTACGGCTTCTACCAAAATCTCTATCGATATATTCTATCCAGAAGCAATAGCCAGCTGATGGGTAAGGATATGAGGGTAAGGTTTTATTTAATTTGGTATATACATTTTTTTCTTTTTTTAAACCAGATGGATCTTTCTGGGGGATGAAAAATAAACTCAAAAGGTAAGGTTTTTACAAAACCGAAATGTTCATTTCATTCTTACATGAATTGAAAGGTCTGGGGTACAAAAGACCAAAAATCGTATGTTCTCCCTCATATGTGGACATTAGATCAAGGGCAAACACAACAAGGGGATTGGACTTTGAGCACATGATAAAAGCGAGAGCACACAAGGGAGGTGTGAGGATAGGTAAGACACCTAAAAAACTAGCTAGCATTTGTTGCCCTTAATGCAGAGAAACTAAAGCAGATACCTTAAAAGCAACTGAGGCCAATAGGAAAAGGGGAACAGGAACTAGAGAAAAGGTTAGATCAAAAAGAATTAACCTAGAAGGTAACACCCACGCACAGGAAATCAATGTGAGTCAATGCCCTGTATAGCTATCCTTATCTCAACCAGCAAAAACCCTTGTTCCTTCCTATTATTGCTTACACTCTGTACAACAAAATTAGAAATAAGGGCAAAATAGTTTCTGCTGGGTATTGAAGGGGTAGGGGGGAGGGGGAGGAGTGGGTGGTAAGGGAGGGGGTGGGAGCAAGGGGGAGAAAGAACCCAAGCCTTGTATGCACATATGAATAATAAAAGAAAAAAAAGAAAGGTCTGGGGTATTCAGGATAACTGTTATTGAAAGAGAAAAGAAGGGAAAGGAAGGGAGAGAGAGCAAGAAAAAACTAAATCCCTTTAGAACAATAATGTGAATCCTATCTAATTAAATGGTTATCCTTTCATGCACCACTTCGAGAGATCTTGTCTCAATTTGGCTTGCTTGATATCTACCATTTGTTCTTCCTATAATTGGGGCCTTTAATCCATCCTACCTCAAGGAAATTGAACTCTAGTTGATTTAGTAAAAGCCTTTGGTTTAGCCAAGTACCAGTGTCTCACGCCTGTAATCCTGGCTACTCTGGAGGCAGAAATCAGGAGGGTAGCAGTTTGAGGCCAGTCCAACCAAATGTTTCTTGAGACCTTATCTCAAAAATGCCCAGCACACACACACACACACACACACACACACACAAAAGGGTTGGTGGAGTGGCTCAAATGGTACAGCACCTTCCTAACAAGCATGAGGCCCTGAGTCAAACCTCAGTACCACCAAAAAGAAAAGCCTTTTGTTTAATTGAAAACCTTTTCAGACTTAGGAGTACAAATTTTTAATCTTGGTAGATGATATTTAGCATCCTAGTAAGAAAAACTAGAAGGAAACATTTTCCATATTGACATTCTGTAAAAGTGATAATCAAATGATTTTTAGCAACCACTATCTTAAAAATGTATTCTGACAGTCACATGGATGGTTTATCTAGCTGTGGAATGATCATCTGCACACTTTTCTGAATATGTTATATTCAGAGTATATATTAAAATATTAAAAAGAAGTTTTTAAGATATATTCCAGTGTAGACTTAGTGTGATATATAGCATATCCAGTAGGTAAAGTTGCCTTTCTGCAGACAGTTTGGGTATGTTATATAATGTTAATGAGGGAATAAAGACACTTAAACACCCACATACATGCATGCATATCTGCAAAACACAGAATTTCCTAGTCTAAGTGAGTCAGTAACTGGGGAAAAAAAAAAAAAAACAGGCAGCAGGCCACAGTCTTGGCCCATGCTGATAAATTAGTGTGGGTTACATTACATTGCCAGTGTCCTCTTTTTCAACATTCTAAGAGAGTTTTCCAGAAGCATTTCTCATTGCTATATCATCTTGCATACAGGATGTTAGTGACTGTGCTCCATTTAAAAAGTCCCACAATGAGACTCCCATCGTTCCTTGTGGTGCTATTGCCAACAGCATGTTCAATGGTACGTGATTTTCTTCCTCTCTGTGGTATCTCCTTTCATAAATATGTAATCACCTAGAAGTCCAGAAGATTACCTGTACAGCTGAGTGGCAGTTTTTTGTTTGCTTGCTTGCTTGTTCATTTGTTTAATGCTGTACAAATTACCCTCGGTAAGTCAGAACACTCATATATATGTTTCATTTGTAAACAAACTCTCCCTTGCCAGAAATCTGAAGGAATCATCAGGGAACATGAATTAAAAGGAACTTAAGAGTATTTTTCAATAATTGGCTCAACTTTGGTGAGAAAAGGAATGCTCTTATGGCATGTAGACATGTTGAATGCTTGTGGAAAGCCCTGATCAGCTTTTCACCTGTATCTGGTTTTGCATTTTGAAGGGTGATAAAATTGGTAGCTTCCATCTATAATGCAATTTTACATTTTCTTTCAGATACCATAATTCTTTCATATAATCTTCATACATCAATATATATAAAAGTCCCAATGCTAAAGACTGAACTTACATGGTGGACAGATAAGTATGTTAAATTTCAGAATCCAAGTTCCAGTAATCTTGCTACTAAATTTGCAGGTAAGATTCATACAGTTGCTCGATATTCTTATCTCTTTATAAAAACTTTGGGGGTTTTGTGTGTATGTGTTTGGTGGCGGGGGCGGGGGGAGATGTTTACTAATCTTCCTTCTTTATCTCTTTGCTAATTCCTTTTTCTGTAACTTTCCCTATCATGGGCACCCCTGTTGATTACTTATGAGAAATATGAAATTATTGGTTCCCTGTTACCTTCTAATTTGCCATTAAGAAAAAGGCAATTTTGCCCTGGGGGACATGACTTAAGTAGTACAGCACCTGCATAGTAAGCTTGAGGCTGTGAGGTCCAGTACCTCTAAGAAAAAAAGGAAAGGGAAGGGAAGGGTAAGAGGAAAAGGGAAGGAAGGGGAAAGGAAAAGAAAGGAAAAAGAGAAGGGAAGAGAACAAGGGAAAGGAAAAGGGAGAAGAAAAAGAAAAAAACAATTTTTAAGAAACTTCTTGCTTCAACCATAACTAGGATGGTCATATAATTTATCATCCAAACTGATAGAGCATTGTTTAGAGTAAAGGGGGACAACTAGAATAACTAGCTATATGCCTATTTGAAATTTTCATTTGTTAATCAATAAATTGACATCATATTGATAGACCTATAAAATACTGCTACTAAAAATCTACTTTCAAAAAATGCAGTTCTTTCCAAATTAAAATAGCATATAAGTGTATATTAATCCTACTCTAAAAAACTACATTAGTTATCATCTGAACATCGAAGGATAATATAGGAAGAATAATCATTTGGGATTATTAATCAGTTTCTTGACCCTATCTGTCTTCATTACAAACCCCTGTATTTTTCTAATGAATTTATTCTCCTTATTTCTAGTTTTTTCACAAAGTTATCTGAATTCTTTAACTGATTCTTCTCTTTTGACTCTAGCTTTGTTTTATTGAGATGCCATGGTGCCTACTGTGCTCACAGCCAAGTTTGCTAAAGAGAGAAGATTATAAGTTTCAGTTTTTTTCTTTACAGTGAAATACATGTTTTCAAAGGCACTGTTATTTTTTGCTTCACATACATTTTTTTCTATTTTTGTCTTTTGAATGTATTACTAAATTTAGATACTATAATTATAAATCTTAAACCTTCTCAATATCATTTCTTTCCAGTACGTAAAATTTTATTCAATCACAAATGGGAGTGCTATCAAGAGTCTTCACATAAATCGAAATAGTCTGAAGCATAATTACAGAATTTAAAAATTAAATCTTAAACATATTTTTAAACTCTCATTATGTAATATGTTCAATTGTTCCTTTGTTCTTTACAGAGGTAAATTTCAATGTCTTCTTCTTGCAAGCTTGGTTTTCAGTAATTGTAGCTCACAAAATCTTAAAAACTAAGCTTTTGACATTTCATATGTCAGATACTTTTTAAAAAAAGATTTTCATCTATTTTGAATAAATGCAATACTCAGAAAGCTCATTTACATTGTTTGATATTCAAAAACATCACTCATTTCTAAAATTATGGTTGATGAGTAGAAGCATGCTAAAGTATATGTTTAATTCATTGTCTGTGTCACTGTAAACGTCTTGTACAACTGCAGCTCCTCTTTTGATTAGTAAAATATTGTAGCTTGTTTGAATACAGTTGTGAATTAGGCATGTACCACAATCAAATTTAAGTCCATTTCTTCTCACTGATTTCTCAGTTTACTAAGAGCATTATCATTATTCTGATGTTATGCCTCACCAGATTTGCATTTATGTTATTCTACAAAACCAATCAACTATGAGTTTTTAACTGAGTTTATAGTAATCTTTATAATAATGTCAAAAGTTTCATCTTCTGACATTGAACTTCTGAAAGCTTTGCTTTGATTCTGTAAGAAATTAAACCCCTTCAAGTCAAACTATTATTATAATTAACTTACTTGAATTTTCCATTTGATGTCATTCACATGAAACTGCTTATTTAACTGTTTACAAAGTTCTTTTTATATTAATGAAGTCAACATATTAAAAGCTTTTCTTTGGTTACCAAAAAAAAAAAATGTAAGAAAACAGTGAAACTAGGCAGGTGTAGTGGTACATGCCTGTAATTCCAGCACTCAGGAAGCTGAAACAGGAGGATCCTGAGTTCACAGTCAGCCTGAGCTACACAACCATTGTCTTAAAAAAAAAAAATGGAAGAGCTGGCACTGGTAATCCTAGCTACTCAGGAGGATCACAGTTCAAAGCCAGCCCTGGCAAATAAGTTCAAGAGACCCTATCTGAACAATACCTAACACAAAAAGGGCTGGTAGAGTGGCTTAAGGTTTAAGCCATGAGTTCAAACCCCAGAACCAAGAAAAAAATGAAAATGAAACTTGAAGGAAATTCATGTGGTCTTAATGAAAAGTCATGCTTTCAGAATGATGTAAAAATGAACCACTACAGGAGTTAAACCATTGACTGGATACAATAGTTTTTAAAGTAACTACAACCATTTTTTTTTTTTTTTTGAGACAGGGGCTTGCTCTGTAGCTCAAACTCTCTATGCAACCCAGGCTGACCTTAGACTGCAATACCCTTTCCTTAGCCTCCAAAGTGCTGAGATTACAGGTGTACCCCATCATGCCTAGTTAACCACAAACCTTTAAAGTAGATTTTGATGTTCTTTAGCAGATGTGTATCTTTTTATTTTCACATAGTCGTTCACATCACTATTTCCAATGTAGGGTGATGTCAACCAAATTGCAAGTATTGTATTCATCAAGTTTCCAAAGAAACTACTTAATTTTACATTAAACACACACATTCCATTTTTTTAGATTTTCACAGCTCACAGGATTTATTAGCAAATAAAAAAGATACCAAACAATAAATAGTTATATATTCATGCCGTATAATAAATAACAAAACAACTGTTGCAAGAGAGTTCAAACTCCTCTTAGCGGGACTGTGGCATCTGTTTCCCACACACACATCATATACACATAACCAAACCTATATAACCCCACGTTTCCCACCGACCCCACTGGTTTGTGGCCTGGCACCTTCGCATATCTCACAGGACAAGACAGAAACTGTGGGCTAGCTGGTTGAAATGCTAAACAGCTGACGGAGGTTACAGGGATATGGTACATTATGTTTTGACTGAAAGGGTCTATCCTTATCTTTCATTTACAATAACCAGTTAAGTAAGCATCCCACTCACTGCACAGCTCACACACTACTAGCTATGACCAAGACTGGAAGTTGGAAGGATGAAATTACATGCACACTATTTATTTGGAATAAATGAAAAATCAGGTAGAATATAGACAAACAGACATAAACTGGAACCATCCTAGGCAAACTGGCATTTATGGACACTATATAATTTAATTGCTAGTTTTTGAAAGGAACTTGGTGATATTCTATTGTTTGGTCTCACCACATAAGCATAAGCCTATAACACAAAGGGACCTTGGCTTTCTCTCATCTCCTGCTATACTTTGTTCTTATCTCTATTTTAAAAGTTACCACATTAAACTCTATTTGCCTGTGCATAAATTCCTTGAGGGTAGAGATTAGGTCTTATTCAATTTTGTATCCTGGTGCTTTATACATAGTAAGTAATCAAGAAATGCTACTATTGAGTGAATGGGTAGATACAAATGACTCAACTGAAGTTTATGTCTCTTAGACCAAGCTACTCATACCCTCTGGATATATGGGAGGGAGTGGGATTTGAAGTTGATGCGGGGGGTCATCCTTGAACTTGCATTTTTAACAAGACCCCCACTCCAAGTGATTCTGACATCAGTGGCCCATAGGATACATTTCCTTGGGTAATGATCTCAAGCCAAAGTTGAGAAAAGATGAGGTCTACAGGCACCAAAGACAATCTTGATTTTGATCAATTCTTCTAATAATGAAGATTGATATCTTGGGAAGGTCCAAAACATGTAGGTTCCACAATATTTGCAGAAGGAGATTCTCCAACAAAGGATTATTTCCAGAGGAAGTGTAAGTGTATACAAACATACTTCAGCAGATTAATCCAAACAAAACTTAGCTTTTACAAGCACCATAGCCCATGCTTAGAAAACAAGTCTTGCTTGGTTTTAGTAGAAAAAACTGAAAGCTTGCTATGTGTCAGAAACTGGACTCACTACTAGTGAATAAAAAAAAAAAAAACGTGGGCAATACTGTTCTCAAGAGTCCTCTGTAGAGTGGAAGACATGAGAGTAAGGGTGAAGTCAACAGGCATGTCTCCTGATACCACCCTCCATCCTATATTTCCAATGTCTCTCCAGTGACCAAGCCTATCAGGTTTTCTGGCTTCACACTGGGTTTGTGGTTTTTCTGTTCATCACCTCCTCCCACTTACCGACTCTTCCACTGCTTCCAGCTTTGTGTTCTCCAGGACAGTGCTGAGGTGAACATCTAGGTAGACCATTCTTCATGCACTTTCATGGTTATTTCCTGAGGCTATATTTCTAGAAGTTGCTGTGCCAAAATGTATACAAAATAGTAAAGATTTCAATGCATGTTCCTGGATTGCCAGAGATATTAATCCACATATCTGCTCTGAACAGAATTCCCACTTCCATAGCCTTCTCAATGGTTGTCACTCTTTCTTCTTTAAATATTGACCAATTTGAAAATATATCTTCTTTTTATTTGCTCTCTTTGGATAACTAGTGAGATTAAATAAATAATGATATTTCCTATACTTGGGAGGTGGAGGTAAGATTGTGAGTTCAAGACCAACTTGGACTACATTGCAAGACCCCGCCTAACAGAAATAAATAAATAAATAAAGTATTTCCTATTATAATACTACTAAGGAAAACCACCATTTCTGTTTTCAATGCTTTTATGTATATAGTATAGTTGGAGACATGTAATTTGATGTTTTCCTTTAGTTCCCATGAAATTATCATGAGCATCCACTTAGTCTTTAAAACTATTACTATTAATGTTTGCATACTAAGCTTACACACACATTTAAGTTTTTTTAAAAGCCTAATTTCTATTCTTCTTTCCTCAGGAATGCAGTTCTTTCATTCTCTGTACTTCTAAAGAAAAACGAAGGGGAGAGATAATTTTTCTCTCCCATATCCCTTATTTTCTTCCCACAGGTACCACAAAGCCCCCAAATTGGCACAAGCCTATCTATGAATTAGATATGGATGACCCAGGAAACAATGGCTTCATCAATGATGACTTCATTGTATGGATGCGGACAGCTGCCTTTCCCACTTTCAAAAAACTATACCGTCGACTCTATCGAATACACTATTTTGTAGAAGGCTTACCTGCTGGTAATTATAGTTTCAACATATCGTACAGTATCCTTTATACCACTTTTCTTTCTGAAGGAGAGGGAAAATTTGGCTACTGGTTATTGAATTATTTAATTCTGTTCTCCAGTCAAACATGTATACCAAAAATAGTGTATAGTTCTATTGCAGGCAATACTGTGTAGAAAAAGAAAACATTTTCCTCTGCTCTCTTGAGGTTTCCATCTGAGACTGCCATGAAACAGGTTAGCAGGAGAAAAACATACACAATTTGTTAACATGTACCTGGGAGCCCTCACAAGAAAAATGAAGACCTAAAGAGGTGACCAAGTTTAAATGCTTACATGCTAGGTTGAAAAAAGAAATTTAATTATGGAAAATAACTGGAAAGATAAGAGTTAGCTTAACCAAGCTTGTTTGCACAGATTCCTCTTGGCCTGAAATCCCAGTCTTTATTGATAAAAATGTTTCTTTTCTCCTGGTATAAGAAGGGCATCTTTCACATGTTAAGTTTATCCCTTGTTTACAGGAACAAAATGGGAGGTCATCGTGCCTTTCTTGCACTTACTATTTGTCAAGTGCCTTTTTTTGTTGTTGTTCATTTATTCACATGTGCATACATTGTTTGGGTCATTTCTCCACCCTGCTCCCCTCCCCTGCTTCACCTCCCCTCAGTTTCAGGTAGATCCCGTTCTGCCCTTGTCACTGATTTTGTTGAAGAAAAGACATAAGCATAATAAGAAAGACAAAGTGTTTTTGCTAGTTAAGGATAGCTATACAGAAAGATTCCTACTATTGCTTTCATGTACCCATGTGTTACGACGCCATGTTGGATTCAACTCTAACTGGATCTTTACATGGTTTCTGATCCGCCCTGCTGCATGATAACCTGTCGCTTTAAGGTTTCTGTATTAGTTTCCTGGAGTGGGGACATCAAACCACCTTTCAAATGTTTTGGGTTTTCTACGCCTATTCTATATCTCCCGTATGTGCTCTCCCCTTTCTGTGAATCAAAAGTCCAACACATTGCTGCATTTTGCCCTAGATCTAAAGTCTGCATATGAGGGAGAACATACAATTTTTGGCCTTCTGAGCCTAGCTGACCTCGCTCAGAATGATGTTCTCCAGTTCCATCCATTTACTTGCAAATGATAAGATTTCATTTTTCTTCATGGCTGAGTAAAATTCCATGTGTACAAGTACCACATTTCTTGATCCATTCATCAGTAGTGGGGGCATCTTGGTTGTTTCCATAACTTGGCTATTGTGAATAGTGCTGCAATAAACATGGGTGTGCAGGTGCCTCTGGAGTAACCTGTGTTCATTCCTTTGGGTATATCCCAGGAGTGGGATTGCTGGATCATATGGGGTCTATGTTAGATTTTTAAGAAGTCCAATTTTTTTCCAGAGTGTTGTACAGCTTGCATTCCCACCAGCAGTGGATTAGGGTTCCTTTTTCCCACATCCTCACCAACATTTTGTTGGTGGTGGTGTTTTGGATGATGGTATTCTAACAGGGGTGAGGTGGAATCTTAGTGTGGTTTTGATTTGCATTTCCTTTATGGCTAGAGATGGTGAGCATTTTTTCATGTGTTTTTTGGCCATTGAATTTCTTCTTTTGAAAGTTCTGTTTGTTCAGTTGCCCATTTCTTTAATTGGTTCATTGATTTTAAGGAGAGTTTAGTTTCTTAAGTTCCCTGTATATTCTGGTTATCAGTCCCTTGTCTGATGTATAGCTGGCAATATTTTCTCCACTCTGTGGTGGTCTTTCAGTTTAGAGACCATTTCTTTTGTTGTGCAGAAGCTTTTTAATTTTATGAAGTCCCATTTGTTCCATCCTTCTCTTAGTTGCTGGGCTGCTGGGGTTTATGAGGAAGTCTTGCCTATACTTTTGTTCCAGAGTGTTCCTGCTCCTTCCTGTAGTAACTTCAAAGTTTCAGGTCTTAGTGTCTGATATTTAGGTCTTGATCCATTTTGAGTGAACTAGTACAGGGTGAATAGACATGGATCTAGTTTCAGTTTCTTGCAGACGGTAACACACTTTTTCCCAGCAACATTTGTTGAAGAGGCTGTCCTTTTCTCGCATCGTATATTTTTGGCACCTTTGTCAAAAATGAGTGAGGTATAGTTGTGTGGATTCATATCTGGATCTCTATTCTGTTCCACTGGTCTTCATGTCTGTTTTTGTGCCAGTACCATGCTGTTTTTTATTGCTATTGCTTTTGTAATATAGTTTGAAGTTGCAGGTATTGTGATACTCCAGCATTGCTTTTTTGCTGAGTATTGCCTTGGCTATTCTCGTCTCCTGTGTTTTCCAAATGAACTTTAGGTAGATTTTTCAATTCTGTGATGAAAGTCATTGGGATTTTGATGGGAATTGCATTAAACATGTAGATTGCTTTTTGGTAAGTATAGCCATTTTTACTATGTTGATTCTACCATCCATGGAGCATGGGAGATCTTTCCATCTTCTGTAGTCTTCCTCAATCTCTTTCTTCAGGAGTTTGTAATTCTCCTTGTAGAGATCACTCACATCCTTTGTTAAATTTACTCCTAGGTATTTGATTTTTTTTTTTTTGAGGCTATTGTGAATGGAATTGTTTCCATGTATTCCTTCTCAGTTTGTTCATTGTTGGTGTATAGAAAAGCTAATGATTTTTGTAGGTTGATTTTGTATCCTGTCACCTTACTGTAGCTGTTTATGTTGTCTAAGAGTTTTTGGGTAGAGTTTTTTGGGTCTTTAAGGTATAGGACCATATCGTCAGCAAATAAAGATATTTTGACAGTTTGTTTACCTATTTTTATTCCTTTTATTTCTTCTCGCCTAATTGCCCTGGCTAGAAATTCCAGTACTATGTTGAATAGGAGTGGGGATAGTGGGCATCCTTGTCTCATTCCTGATTTTAGGGGGAATGGTTTTCAGTTTTTCACCATTAAGTATGATGTTGACTGTAGGTTTGTCATGTATAGCCTTTACAATGTTGAGGTACATTCCTTCTATTCCTATTTTTCTTAGAGCTTTTATCATGAAGTGGTGTTAGATCTTGTCAAAGGCTTTTTCTGCATCTATTGAGATGATCAGTGGTTTTTGTCTTTGCTTCTATTGATGTGCTGTATTACATTTATAGATTTGCGTATGTTGAACCACCCTGCTTCCCCAGGATAAACCCAACTTGGTCATGGTGTATGATCTTTCTGATGTGTTGTTGGATTCAGTTTGCCATTATTTTATTAAGGATTTTTGCATCATATTCATTAAGGAAATTGGCCTATAATTCTTTTTTGGAGGTGTCTTTGTCTGGTTTTGGGAAGAGTAATATTGGCTTCATAAAATGAGTTAGGCAGTGTTCCTTCCTTTCTATTTCGTGGAACAGTTTAAGGAGAGTTGGTATTAGTTTCTTTTAAACATCTGATAGAATTCAGCAGTGAATCTCAGGTCCTGGACTTTTCTTTTTGGAGTCTTGATTGGCTTCAATTTCTTTTTGTGTTATAGATGTGTTCAGGTGGTTCAGTTTTGGGTGCTTGTAAGTTTCTAGAACTCTGTCCATTTCTTTAAGATTTTCAAATTTATTAGAATATAGGCTCTCAAAGTAGTCTCTGATGATTTCCTAGATTTCTGTGGTGTTTGTTGTTATCGCTCCTTTTGATTTCTGATTTACTGATTTGGGTTTTTTCTTCTCATTTTAGTCAGGTTTGCCAGGGGTCTGTCAATCTTATTTATTTTTTCAAAGAACAAACTTTTTGTTTCATTGATTCTTTGTATGGTTTTTTTTGTTTCTATTTCATTGATTTCGCCTTTCTCTTAATTATTTCTTTCCTTCTGCTTGTTTTGGTATTTGCTTATTCTTCTTTTTCTAGGAGTTTCAGCTGTAGTGTTAGGTCATTGATTTGAGATCTTTCTGTCCTTTTGATATATGCATTCATGGCTATAAACTTTCCTCTTAGGACCGCCTTTGCTGTGTTGCATAGGTTCTGGTGTTTGTGTTTTCATTTTCATTAACTTTCAGGAACCTTTTAATTTCCTCTTTTATTTATCAGTGACCCATTCATCATTGAGTAGTATGTTGTTCAGCTTCCCATTGTTTGCACATTTTTACTGCTGTTTTTGTTGTTGATTTCTAGTTTTAATGCATTGTGGTCAGACAGAATGCATGGGATTATTTCTATTTTCTTATATTTGCTGAGGCTTGCTTTGTGCCCTAAGATATGATCAATTTTGGAAAAGGTTCCATGGGCTGCTGAGAAGAATGTATATTGTGCAGAAGTTGGATGAAATATTCTGTAGACATCTGCTAGGTCCATTTGATCTATGGTGTGATTTAGTTCTAGGATTTCTTTATTGATTTTTTTGTTTAGATGACCTATCTATTGATGATACTTGAGTATTAACGTCTCCCACTACCACTGTGTTGGAGTTTATATATGTTTTTAGGGCCTTCAGTGTATGTTTGATGAAGTTGGGTGCACTGACGTTGGGTGCATATAGGTTGATAACTGTTATTTCCTTTTGGTGTATTTTCCCTTTTATTAGTATGGAGTGTCCTTTTTTATCTCATTTGATCAATGTAGGTTTGAAGTCTACTTTGTCTGAGATAAGTATTGCTACCCCTGCCTGTTTTGGGGGACCATTGGCTTGGTAAATCTTCTTCCAGCCTTTCACTCTCAGCCAATGCTTATTTCTGTCGATGAAGTAGATCTCCTATAGGCAGCAGATTGTTGGATCTTCCTTTTTAATCCAGTTTGCCAGTCAGTGTCTTTTGATGGGGGAATTTAGTCCATTAACATTCGGTGTTATTATTGATAAATATGTGGTGATTCCCGTCATTTAGTTGTGTTTGTCGTTTAAGGGTTTGATTGTGTGCAGCTGAATCAATGTTACTCTTTACTTTCTTGCCTTTTCTTCTCTTGTGGTTTGGTATTGCCTGCCCTTTCATGGTTTTGTTTGCTTTCATTTTCTATGTTCAGAATTCCTTGGAGAATCTTTTGTATTGGTGGCTTGGTAGTCATATATTGTTTTAGTTTCTGCTAATCATGGAAGACTTTTTTTT